GTCATGACGATTCTTACAAGTCCAGTTTTGGAGTTGTGTTTGTGAGGCGTGGTTATTTTGGTGTGATATATAACTACTCGGGGTGATGGATGTAGTTCTGCGGACTGGTTACATGTTTAACGAAGATTCCTACAAGTGTAACTCATTTACCTGGGACGACACTTCACTTGACCTGCTGTTAAATGGGGTACATGTTTTAGTGTTTGTTACAAATCTATATATTTGAACAATAACTCTTTATATATCAGTCATTGTATTTAAATGTTCAATATTTCCAAATTTCCATGAAGGAATTCCTGTTTGCTTTGTTGTAGGAATATTGTAGGTATCTATTTAGGAGTGATGTATGTCTATTTTGAGGAAATGTGCAATCTTTGTAGGAGATCATATGTATGCCTTTCTCTGAAATGAAATGTATACTAATTCATATTTTAGAGGACAATACATATTTTGTTTGTATAAATTTAAGATATGTATAGAAACAAAAAACAGAATTTTCCACAGAATAAAGTCTATATAACTAAATGATAAATGATTTTATGTACCGGAGATCTAGCTTTGATTTAAAAATTAAAAAATTAAATAAAATAGAAAGTTCAACAGTGTGAAAAAACATGCTTGACAGATGGGACATTATTTATGATTTTATTTAAGAATTCTGCACTCATACATTGCCGTAACTTTTATAAGACTTGATCACGTGAGGTATACATGTAAGAGTAGAACAGGCCGTAGAATAATTAGCCGAGGCGTCCGTGCAGTGTTTAATCTTACTGGAATATTCATTTCCCTGCCCTAGCTTTACACCTTATGTAGTTTTAGTCATTTGAATATGTTTATCCCTATCATCATTTAACAACTCTGACATTGTTATTAGTGAAGGCAGACACATTTAATTACAATACTCTTTTTCATAATAGTTGTTGTACAAGGTAATTCTGGGCAAAAACATATGAAATCAACTTTCTACAGTGACATTTAAGGTACACCATGTTTACCATACACTGTGCTATAAGTCTGTTCTGAGTTTTAGCCATGTTTTACCATACAATGTATCTTAGATCTAGCCTGATGCTTTGTGATATTAGAGAATAATTATTTAATTCTTTCATTTTGTAATGTCAAGTAGTTACATTACAGTTACAAAGTGAAAAGTGCCGATTCTTCTTGCTCATGTTTATACTAGACAAATTGTCGTTTACATAGGCAACATGATAAACTATTAACTATTTGGTTGCTGTGTACAAACAAATATTGAATTAATCCTTGATAGAAATATCAGATAGAGATCAAGGGTTTAGAAAGAACAATATAAGGATGTCGCCTTGTGCTTAAAAAAAACGTAAAAATATTCTGTGGTTAACATAAATATTTCATTTGTTATACAATAGCCCTAGTTAATTAACCTAGGAAAACAACTTGGTAGATACTTAAAATAGAGATTTCTCAGCAAAAAGTTGAAATATCCATTACTTTTGAAAAATATTACAATAATTGGAAAATATATTAATTCAAGATTGTAGAACAGAATAAGAACTTTGAAAAAATATATTGATTAAAGGCCTATGAAAAGTTTTGGCACAAGACAAACAGAATCAGTGTAAGAAATTTACCAAGTGGTATACATTTGTATTAACATTTTTATGCCGAGTTGACACCTAATTACTACGCGTGATTACCCTAAATAATCAGGATTGTGGTCAGATTACCTTAATGCTATCCACGGTGATTGGATTTATATGGTAATCTAGTACTTTTGGGCTGTACGTCTCTCAACAGACCTAATGTGTCCTTAATTCTGATCAGGATTGTATGACTATCAACATAACCTACTATAACTATTGTTCCAAGGTCAATTTTAACCACTGACCATATCATCGTGCCAAGGTTAATTTTAACACTGACTATCATGTTGAGGTCAGTTTTAACCACTGCATGACCATCATGCCCAGGTCAGTTTTAACCACCGACCATATCATCGTGCCAAGGTTAATTTTAACACTGACTATCATGTTGAGGTCAGTTTTAATCACTGACCATATCATCGTTCCCAGGTCAATTTTAACCACTGCATGACCATCATGCCCAGGTCAGTTTTAACCGCTGACTATCGTTCCAAGGTCAATTTTAACCACTGACCATGATTTCCCTGACAACTTTAAAAACTGACCTAACATGCTCATGTCACCCTTATGAATGACCTTCATTTTCAAATAAACAGTAAGTTTTCCTTTTAGAAATACTCCTTATTCAATTCTGCTTAAAATAAAGCAACATGCCAACTACTTTTCACTGTAATCAATATTTAGGTATACTGATTTCCTCGATTGTGTTTTTCAATGACAGGTTCACATTGAGAGTTTTACAGTAAGTTGACAGTGTCATTTTGTCACAATTTTGGGAGACCGCCGTCAGCAATGTTGGACCACATACTTTGTCTGTTGCTTTGTACATTGAATTGATGGAGATTTCAGATATGAAATTTGTTGCTGCCACTTTGCAAGAATAACATTGTGTCACCATAGCATCAAAAATACACTGTATTGTGTTTATTGTCACCACATCAGCAATGTGTGTCGTCTTTACAAACATTGCTAATCGTTAGGCTGTTAGTGAAGTTGACAGTTGTGCTTTAACCAGACACATCTTTGCAAATTTCTGCAAAATTAAGCTTTAGCTCATTCACCCCTGAAGACAAATTTGAACTCTTCCAATTCAAAGGTTGGAATAGTTCATTATGAAACTTCAGGGTGAAAGAGTTAAAGCCTTTTTGCAGAAAGTTTGCAAAGATGTGTCTGGTTATACACTGAGCTTGGCAATATTACATTCCATCGGTTTTGGACTGGTTATTAAAAAAATTTCGAAAGAATTACAGACATTCAAATATTGTATTTAATAATGTTTCTTAAGACTGATTGGTGAATATTTTGTATGGACAAGGATAGGGATGAAAAGCTGCTTCAGGTGTTACTATAGTGACGACACTCGCTATGACCAGAAGTCCTGTCCTTCTACCCTAGTGTTTTGATATAAAGTTACTCAGCTGTAACTATAGTTACGACACTCACTATGACCAGAAGTCCTGTACTTCTACCCCAGTGTTTTGATATAAAGTTACTCAGCTGTTACTATAGCTACGACACTCACTATGACCAGAAGTCCTGTACTTCTACCCTAGTGTTTTGATATAAAGTTACTCAGGTGTTACTATAGTAACGACACTCACTATGACCAGAACTCCTGTACTTCTACCCTAGTGTTTTGATATAAAGTTACTCAGCTGTAACTATAGTTACGACACTCACTATGACCAGAAGTCCTGTACTTCTACCCTAATGTTTTGATATAAAGTTACTCAGCTGTTACTATAGTTACGACACACGCTATGACCAGAATAAGTCCTGTAATTCTACCCTAGTGTTTTGATATAAAGTTACTCAGGGGTTACTATAGTGACGACACTCGCTATGACCAGAAGTCCTGTACTTCTACCCTAGTGTTTTGATATAAAGTTACTCAGCTGTTACTATAGTTACGACACTCGCTATGACCAGAAGTCCTGTACTTCTACCCTAGTGTTTTGATACAATGAATAGAAATTACATCACAACAGCAATGGGTAATGAGAAATGAGTGTGATTTTATAATAATAAACATGTTTCCATTTAAATGAAATAGTTTGCAAAATATGAAGAATTCATAATAATTTCTAAAATAAATGAAGCTGTATTGACTGATGTTGTTGATAAATCACTTCCCATTAACTGATTTCATAAACACACTATTTCTAAGGATTGATATTCTTTGTAAGAATCAGAATTATTGATGCATCTGAATATTTTCACCCCTTATAACAGTATACAATTGTTTCATTGGTACTGGGGAAACAGTCAAATCTTTGACCCGAGGTAGCAGGTAAGACCTAGGGAACTGTTGCCCAAGGCCGAGGGCAACAGCTCCCTAGGTCTAACCTGCTACTGAGGGTCAAGGATTTGACTGTTACCCCATGGCCAGTACCAATGAAACAAATGATTTATTACCTGACTCTCTATTTAAGAAACTTCCTGAATTGTGCGAGTTAGGATAAATTATTTCTTGGTATAAAGATTTCCTTCCTTGGTTCTCAATGCTACGTAAAATCTACACAAAAAACTCATTCAGTTCTGCACCTTTCGTCGATCATTACACCTTTCTCTGCACAATATTTATCCGAAATATTCACAGCTTCCTTAATGACGTTTTTGTACTATGAGAGTCCCTATTTTCCATAAGCAATTCCAAATCTTGTTCAGAAGCATCCTCAAATCTGCCGTTATTCGCAATTTTCACCAGACCACAACAAATAAATTTGTATCAAAAAGATGCTTAAGTGGGGCCTCCGACGCGGAAATTGTCTGCGCACGATTGTCGCGCATGCAACAGTAAGTGTGCAACAGTCGACTGTTGCACCCTGACATTATTTTACGGGTTTTCAGTCTTTTCCAGGGATTTTTTTTTTATTAAAACAGTCAAAAATACTTCATATACACTTAAATAGAGAGTCATGTAATAATATCTATTGTCGCACGTCAATACTGCCTCCTTATAATGCTTAGTCGAGTTAACATTCATAACTCATTCACATCAATCTAATAACAACTAAAAAGTCAAAAGATCACGTTATTTCACGCCCAGGTTGATGATCAGCCATGGCTTTTAACTTTTCTCAACAACCAATGCTCCAATCATTTTGATGATAAACTATTTAATACAGACAAAAAGATTGGACTTTCTTCTTTTTAGAGTTTGAATCAAATATTTTAATGTTGTTGAGGAGGATGGGCTGAAACCTTGCAAGCACTGATCTCCCATGTGTGTAATTTGACAGAAATACCTCAGGAGGGATCAGTAATCAGGCAAGAAAAAACAAAGCTAATTACTAAATTTATTTCAAGATGATTAGAAGTGTAATTGATAGCCTGTTAGGATTGGGGCCTAAGAGGCTGTGTTTCTGTTTGTAGGAAGGCTCCCTGGAGCAAGCCATGATGGATGCACTCATCAACGATCGTGTGGACTTCGTGAAGCTGTTACTTGAAAATGGTGTGAGCATGCAGACATTTCTGACCATACAGAGGCTGGAGGAACTCTACAACACGGTAAGGCTGTCATAGAAATTCTTCATCATATAAAGAGATTGAAAAAACTCTACAACATGGTGTTGTCACACAGGTATTCCTCAACATAAACTCTACAGCACAGTAAGACTATCACACAGACGTTCCTCAGCATAATTTCGACAGCACAGTAAGACTATCACACAGGTATTCCTCAACACAATCTCTACAGCACAGTAAGACTATCACACAGACACTCCTCACCATAATCTCTACAGCACAGTAAGACTATCATACAGGTATTCCTCAACCTAATCTCTACAGCACAGTAAGACTATCACACAGGTATTCCTCGACATACTCTCTACAGTACAGTAAGACTATCACACAGACGTTCCTCACCATAATCTCTACAGCACAGTAAGACTATCATACAGGTATTCCTCAACCTAATCTCTACAGCACAGTAAGACTATCACACAGGTATTCCTCGACATACTCTCTACAGTACAGTAAGACTATCACACAGGGATTCCTCAACATACTCTCTACAGTACAGTAAGACTATCACACAGGTATTCCTCAACATACTCTCTTCAGTACAGTAAGACTATCACACAGGTATTCCTCAACACAATCTCTACAGCACAGTAAGACTATCACACAGACATTCCTCACCATAATCTCTACAGCACAGTAAGACTATCATACAGGTATTCCTCAACCTAATCTCTACAGCACAGTAAGACTATCACACAGGAATTCCTCAACATAATCTCTACAGCACAGTAAGACTACCACACAGGTATTCCTCAACATACTCTCTACAGCACTGTAAGACTATCACACAGGTATTCCGCAACATAATCTCTACAGCACAGTAAGACAATCACTCAGGTATTCCTCAACATACTCTCTACAGTACAGTAAGACTATCACACAGGTATTCCTCAACATTCTCTCTACAGTACAGTAAGACTATCACACAGGGATTCCTCAACATACTCTCTACAGTACAGTAAGACTATCACACAGACGTTCCTCACCATAATCTCTACAGCACAGTAAGACTATCACACAGGTATTCCTCAACACAATCTCTACAGCACAGTAAGACTATCACACAGACGTTCCTCAGCGTAATTTCGACAGCACAGTAAGACTATCACACAGGTATTCCTCAACATTCTCTCTACAGTACAGTAAGACTATCACACAGACGTTCCTCACCATAATCTCTACAGCACAGTAAGACTATCACACAGGTATTCCTCAACACAATCTCTACAGCACAGTAAGACTATCACACAGACATTCCTCACCATAATCTCTACAGCACAGTAAGACTATCACGCAGACGTTCCTCAGCATAATTTCGACAGCACAGTAAGACTATCACACAGGTATTCCTCAACACAATCTCTACAGCACAGTAAGACTATCACACAGACATTCCTCACCATAATCTCTACAGCACAGTAAGACTATCACGCAGACGTTCCTCAGCATAATTTCGACAGCACAGTAAGACTATCACACAGGAATTCCTCAACATAATCTCTACAGCACAGTAAGACTACCACACAGGTATTCCTCAACATACTCTCTACAGCACAGTAAGACTATCACACAGACGTTCCTCAGCATAATTTCGAGAGCACAGTAAGACTATCACACAGGTATTCCTCAACATACTCTCTACAGTACAGTAAGACTACGCACAGGTATTCCTCAACATACTCTCTACAGTACAGTAAGACTATCACACAGGTATTCCTCAACATACTCTCTACAGTACAGTAAGACTATCACACAGACGTTCCTCACCATAATCTCTACAGCACAGTAAGACTATCACACAGGTATTCCTCAACATAATCTCTACAGCACAGTAAGACTATCACACAGGTATTCCTCAACATAAT